AGGTGATTGTCTTGTACAGGTGGTTGTCTTGTACAGGTGATTGTCTTGTACGGGTGATTGTCTTGTACAGGTGACCACTAGAGAAGGATCAACTGCATTGTAAGGTGTGACAGATTCTGCAAGGCTAAATACACAAGTATGCACCATCAGAAAGAATAGTTGCTACAGATTCTGTTTTTGAGATATTTTAATAAATAATAATTGCATTTATATAGCACATTTCCACGCTCAAGAGCATGCTCTAAGCGCTTTACAACTATTATTACCCCAGCAGACCCTTTGAGAACACTCAGAAACATTCTCAGCTTCCGAGGTAGCATACAGTGCAAGCTGCGGATTTCACGCTCTCAAACACTATCAAACTGACAAGATCGTTCACTGTCTATAGCCGGGTACCCATTTTCACCAGGGTGAAGTGAGGAAAATTTGTGCAAAGTGCCTTTCTCAAGGACACAACGTCGGACCCCTGACGGGATTCGAACCCACGACCTTTTGGTTGCGAGTCCGAGAGCCTAACCGCTAGGCCACCGACGCCATCATACACTTTTGAACATTATTATATTTTTACAATATTGATTTGCCAATTTGTATTTCATACTTGTCACAGTATGGTTTAAAGCTGGATAAACTTTTTTTTTTAAATTATTTTTTTTAGACCTACATTTTTGGCCTTGGATGACTTTTTCATCCATATTGAGCTGACTCGAGAATGAAACTACCCTGGATCGATAACAACGAGAATGAAACTAGGTGGTGCGACTTTTCATAGAACTAGGCACACGCAACCGTCTGAAATCCTGCTAATCTATGATGTTCCCGCATTTGTATTATTTATGTGTGCAGACCCTCTGAGTGTGTGTCTGTCTGTGTGTGTGTGGGCGCTCGCGGGTGTGTGTGTGTGCGCGTGTGTGTACGTGCGCGTGTGTGTCTGTGTGTGTGCATGTGTGTGTTCATGTGTGTGTGTGTGTGTGTGGGACATCAGTATTTCCTTGAGCTGATGACTGCGAGGGCTCAGATAGTCCCGGCAGTCTGTCTCTCTAACAAAGTCATCAACGTGCTCCCACAGTATTTGTGCCGTCCAGCACTCACATACCCAAACTGGCGGGATTCGGAAATCTTTTCGTTATGTTCGAATTTTGCAGTGTACATGTTTTAAATAGAAAGGAAATTCATGTATGTGTATATATATA